ACTATGGCCATCGAGGACTACGAAGCATCCCGTGGCTGGCTTAAAAGTTCATTGCATGCCAGGAAGTATTTGTTATTGTTAGATTCAGACGAGGATGGACGTTGCATTGCTAAAATGGCTACAAAACGGACATTTGGATGTCAAGCAGCTAAGACAAGAAGAGCTCTGATGCTGGAAGAGAGGGTAAAAGTGATCAAAATGAAAGACGGAGCAAGCAAAATAAAAGACATTTTCCAAGAAATTGATGTAAGTGAAAGTGAATGCTGATCGTAAATTTCGCAATTTCTTTCCCTTTTTTTCTTTCTACACTGACAATATGAAGTGTCAAATAAGTGTGTGCTCATACTTATGTACTATTGGAATAAAAATAGAGTACACAAACGTTTGTGTGTGCGTGTACACATACGTTTGTGTGTGTGGGTGTGTGTGTGCTTACATCTGAGATCAAATTTGCTACAGTGAAAAACCCCCTGTTGTGAAAAATTTCTTGCTGCAAACATGATTTCGTTGTAGAGGAGTTTCACTGTACTCTAATTTCAAATTGCAATTTGCGTTATTGCCTTATTTAGCAGAAAACAGCAGCTGTCCTGTGTCTTCACAAACCATAGAAAAAAGACCCCACCCCCACCGACTTTCCATCAATTTTTGGTAATTTCCTAGTATACTATTTCTATTTTTTACATTGTTTATTTTTTTCTAGTTTTTTCGGTTTAGCATTTTCTGTTGTAATAATTTTCACACATTTTTTTCCAAACATTTTTTCCGAATGTTTTTTTTTTTCATTTATTTGTACATTTTTATCCAGTTTTTTTGAACTTTTCATTTCATTTAACCTTTTCACAGCTTTCTTGAAGTACGCACTTGACTTTGTGAGCTCATTTCGACACACACGGACTGTCTGACCGGCTTCGTTTGGTCACAAACGCAACACGGTACGAGTCAATGGGATCATCATGCCGTAAATGGCGAAGCGTTCCCCTTCCCAACATGACTGGAATACCTTGGGAAGCTGCCAGGGAGCTCAGCACCAGCGACGGTGGCGGTTCTTCACATGACCTGACTCCAATATCCATCCGCTCGGAATTCTGCATACGACAAAGGAGATGATGTCACAATAGTGTCCGGACCGGGTTTGTGACACCTGGTTGCTATTAAGTTGAGCATTATTTGCTTTGCTCGCTTTTAGTGTCATGGAAAGTGGTTCCTCCTGGGACAGAATATTAGGGACAACTGCTAAGGGGATCTAATACAAGAATACAAAATATGAGAACTGTATCAAGTGTGTTTATATAGACATCAATGCAATCGTAAGCTTGTTTACCGTACAGACTGCAACCACAATAATAAATGTTTCAATTTAATACAGTGGGATACTATTCAAATATTTTCTGCTCCGTTTGGTGTACCCGCCTTGGCCATCTGTGGGCATTATAAGACGGATACACGACTCTTCTCAACTCATCAGTGCATCACTAATATTGGTCGTTCTCCGCAGAGGATAAAGAATAATGTAAATGTGATTTTTTTTTCCCCCCACTGAATATTGCGATTACAATTTAATATAAGTGCTTTTTATTCCGATTTTTTTCCCCCATATCTTTTTAAGATTTGTTTTGTGACACCAATTGTGTGGTATTCATCTGCATGTATTTTTTTTGTCTCATATTTCGTGTTATTTTCTTGTATTTGTTTTCGCGTCATATAATATTTTTCTGATATTTTTGTTGCATTCGCTTGTCACATATTTTGAGTTATTTTCTATTTGTGTTTGTGGTGTTTTGTATGTATTTTCTCTACTGCATACACACACCCAGAGTGTATGTAACAAATTGTGGGCCTGCCTTGCAACGAGCTGTGGAGCCGATCCGTGACATCACTTTCCCAAACATTCATCTCATCCCCTTTAGAAGTGTGTCCATATATGGAAGAGCGCTCCAACTCTGACTGGGGCTCTCCCCGCCTCACCTCAGTAAGTAAAAGGAGGAGGAGGAGGAAGAAGAGGAGGACGAGTTACCTTACAAGGCAGAGCGACCTGCACATTGTCTGACTTGAGACTGACTCACCTTTGCTTCTCAAGGCTTGTGTGTGCGCACGTACGCGCTATCACGATCTCCTGTCGATGCACATGGAAAAAGACCGAGCGAAACGACATTAAGTTCAGGGGGGCTGGAAACGAAGCTTCAAGCGCTAATTTGAAACCCAAAGTGTGGTTTGGAACTTTTATTTGGTATCCGGACGATGGCTTGAAATCCCTAATTGGAAACCAAAATCAAGGTTTGATTCCCTTGACCATGGATTGCTGACTAGAAAGGGTAAACTTGAGTTAGGCTTAAAAATGTAATTTGAAACCCTAATTTGAGAATCTAACCCTGACTTGGAAATTCCACCAGTGTGGCTTCATGGCCCAATTTAAAAGCCCAATTTGAAACCCTAACCCTGGATTGCATTCCAAATCTTGATTTGAAACTGTAAACCTGATGTGAAATACTAATTTGAAACCCTAACCTTGGTTTTAAACCCTAATTTAAAAATCTAAGCCTTGTTTAAAACATAAATTGGAAAGTCTAACCTAGGCTTAAAACCCTGATTTGAAAGCCTAAATATGGATTGAGACACTAATTTCAAACCTAAACCGTAATCCTGGCTTCAAGCCCCAATTTAAAACCCTAACTTCAAACCCTAAACCTGCATTGAAATGAGTATTTGAAACCCTAAACTTAGTTTCAAACCCTAAATTGAAACACTTACAGTACTCTGTCTTGAAACCCTACCCCTACTTTGCAACTCTGACACAAAAATTTTGCTGGAAAACACTCATTTGAAACCCTAACCTTGGCTTCAATTTCCCATTTCAAACCCTACCCCGTAGGGCAGACATAAAATGACTCCGTAAGGTATTTCCGGCGTACATATAGCAATCCTGGAACATTCTTCACAATGTACTCACTGACTGGATGCGTTGATGATGTCATTCGAGTGCGCTACATCTTAACACGTCGGCTCCAAATCTCACACAAGCATATAAAGTCCGCGAACCCTAAACATAGCATATACCCGAGATCATCTTATGAATGTACTGTCATAAATATTATACCAGGAAGTGAGCCTGTTTTCATCTAGAAACGCGTTATTCTAAAATAGTATAATTTAATTTGACAAACGTGAGTAGTAAATGTGTTTAGTTGTCATTGATAAATTGACTGTTGCTAATTGTTGATGTGGCGCAGTGTGAGCCGCACCCAAATGCTTTTGTAGTGCCATGCAATATTTCACGCATGGCTGATAGGATTTGCCAATGATGTATTTACATTCTTTTGATTGACAGGTGTTCATCTCGTTTGCTTTTTTGGCGTGTTCTGGTCACCTTATTGTTAGCTCCACCAGAGCAACAGGCAAATGTAAGCGTATTGTAACACGTTCGTATGTGGTTAAAGTAGTGCTGGGGCGATTAAAGGGCAGAAAAATTACAATGATGATTGTTTATATGTATTTAAAATAATAGCAATAATTTTGGGGTGGGAAAAAAATGGCTGTTGCTGCTGCTCCATCCATGCATGGATTCTAGACACTTGCATTAAGAGATGAATAAATGTATGCTTATATATTACTTAGAGGTTGATTTCAACATCGAGCTACTCAACAAATGGTTTTGGAGACACACACGCTTACCTTGAGTGTTCACTCTGCACACACCGCGCTCCAGGATGCCTTTCTGCAAGGAGCCAATCATCTTGCCCGTGGCGTGCTCAGAACTCAGTGGGGACTCATTAGAACACGCAGGCTGGACAGTGCTTGGTGGCCTGCGATTTCTTTGAAGACACAAAACAACTGTTCCAGCAGTTTTTAAAAGCTTGACTTTTTAAAAATGTGGAAAAGCTGTCAAAGCGGCAACTGACCCATGCTTACATGAAAACCGGATTTCACATGATAACTTTGGTTTGAACCCCTCATTTGAGACCCGAACCTTGGCTTAAACTCTTTTGACATCCCAGAAAAAAAAAATTGTCTCGAAACTATAAACTAGCCTTGAAGCTGTAATTTGAAACCATAGATTGAAGCCCACCTTCTGATAGGGATGTAACAATATTCAAACGTTACAATACAGTAGGTAATATCAACTCATGAACCTTACGATACGATCATTACTAATATTAAAAAGATCATTAGATTAGAAGTTATTTCACGATATTGTTAAAAAAACTCACCATATTGAAAAAAAAGCACAATATTTAGGTTTGTGACACCTGACTTATTTCCGCCATTTTCTGTGTGCCTGTTTTCGTGTGATCACGTCTGTTTTGCACTCCTCTCAGAAAAATGAGCTGTTGCTTGTTAAAAATGCTATTTACGGATCTATTTTCAGATATGATGAATAGTGGAATCTGTCGACTTGTTTTCGATTTTAATGAGTTTATTTGGAGTATTTCCACGATTTTAATTTTGTTTTCACATCCCTATATCATTGCTATATTAATATCGGGATATCACTGTTATCGTGACTTCCCGACATTTTCAATCTCCATTTCTGGCTTGAAACTCCAGGCTTGTGTTGAAACCCTAATTTAAGATAAGAAAACCTTTATTTGTCTCACAATTGAGAAATTTGGTTCTGTGACTCGAAACCCTAAACTGTGTTCGAAGATTTAGTTTGAAACCACAATCATAGCTTGAAACTCACATTTTAAAAAAACGCTATCATTGAAACGTGTACCTAATTAAGCGGCCTCTGTGTGCATTTTAAATTCCGGTCTCTAGTATCACAACATCTTTTATTGTTTTTCAGCTGACCAGGCAGCTAAATTGCCGTGGGTGTCCTGTTACAAATCCGTCTCACCTTCTTCTACATTTAAATCACATTTGTTTTAGGCTAATTAGCCTCAAATCGCCCGTCAATCACACTTGCAAGTCAGGCTTGGGCGGGAAATCTGCCGAAAAGCCTGATGGATGACAGCCGAGTCGGCCAATCAGGGTCAAGCAAGGGCGGGCTTGCATCCCCGAGGCGTCCACTCAGCTTCCTCCTACTTCGGCCATCGATCTCATTCGTCTGTTGCAAAGTTTTTTCGGTCTCTCTCTCTATTTTTTTCCCCCCTCTGCCTCGGAAAGAAGCCTCCCTCCGGGGAATGACAGAGCCGAGAAGGAACAAGAGTTGAGCAGGAAGAGAGCGAGGGAGCAAGGGGGAGAAAGCCAGAGGCGGACGGTCGAATCTCTATCCCTGACACACACACTCACCGTCTTGAGGAGGAGGAGAAGGAGGAGGAGGAGGAGGAGAAGAAGAAGCAGAAGAAGAAGAAGAAGCAGCGGGCTGAGGAGAGGCAGCCGGCGGACACACACGCACAGACACCAGGGAAGAGAAGCCGAGACAGAAACAGACGCTGTTTGGCGCTCACCTCACGTTATGGATCCTTACGACGAAGAGCAGCGCTACATGCAGCAGGAGGACGACTGGGACCGGGACCTGCTCCTGGACCCCGCCTGGGAGAAGCAGCAGCGAAAGGTGAGGAGCTCCCAGTTTGCTCATTTCCGGGTTTACAGGCGCCTGCCCGCCGAACTCATCTCTAATTATTTTCCTCATCTACTTTTGCTTCTGCTTCCTACTTCTTCATTTTATTCATATCCTGCTTCTCCTTAACCCCATCTCGAAACGCCAATTTGGCCTGCTATCCCTGACTTGCAACTCCAATTTGAACCTCTAAACCCGTCTTGAAACCGTAACTCTGCTTTGAGAACCTAACCCTTATTTTGAAGCCTTAATGCAGGCTTGAAACCCTATCCCTGATTTGAAACCCAAAACGTGGCTTCAAACCCCAACTTGAAACCCTAATTGTAGATTGAAACCCTAATTCATACTCTGAATCTTGGCTCCGAACCCTAATTTGAAAACTGTCGTCAAACTCAAACATTCGCTTGAAGCCGCCGTTTTAAATCCTAATTTTACATTGAAAGCATAACTTTGGCTTCAACCACTTACCGAGGCCATACTTTAATCTGTAACTTTAGATTCAAACCTTAATTTGAAACCCTAACGCTTTAATTGAATTCCTAACCTGTGACTCGGACTCATAATTTTAAAGAATAACTTTGCCTTGAAACCCAATCCCAGGCTCCAAACTGTTATTTAAATCCTTAACCCTAATTTGACTCTAACCCTTGTTTGAAACCCTAATTTAAAACCGTAGTTATGGGTTGAAACACTATCTTGAAACCCCAGTGTTAAACCGTAACCCCTGTATTAAACCTTAAATTGGGATTCAAATCCTGATTCGAATCCCAAAACGTAAACATGAAACCTTAATTTCAAACGCTAACCTGAAACCCCAACCCCATTTTTAAAACCCCAACTTGAACCATTCTCATATGTTGTTGTAATTTTGAAGCCTTCACATTTGAAAAAGTGACTTCACATTCCAATTGTGATTCTTCATAAGTAGCTATATGAGAAGATTTCCTGAAAATGCCAGTCTTGCCAAAATGTAAAACCTGCTTAGAATGGCGACTTCAAACTGAATACAACACATCAGAATTTTGAAAATCCGATGAGAAATAAATTCATTTTTTGGGTGTGATGTTGCCCTTTGAATGAGGTTAAAAAAATACTTTCAAATTAGAGTAAAGCAGGAAACCTTGATTATTTCTCAAGATAAGTTTTCAACCCTTTCATTTCATCTCCCTGATCTGAGCTGTCAAGATCAAGTTAATAATCTCCACCATTCGGATCGTACGTGCCGAAATTCTGAGCGACTCTCCAAGTCAACGTGTCAAAATTACCGTCTCTTGCTCTCAAACTTATCTTAACTCGCGCAGATGGAACATAACTTGTCAGACGGGCAATAGACAGTCATTTAGATTCGTAGGGATGGGCGAGTCTATCGGGTACTCGTTCGTGAAGGCTGCTCATACCAGCCACCAATACTTATGGGGGCGGAGAAAAAAAATCTGACATCAAATAAGTCCTCCTCACCAGTAGTTGGCGCTATACTGCAGCGCATCAGCAAATCATCATCTGGGTCAGAAAGAAAGGTCTTTGCTTGCAATTTTTTTGTCATTGTGTTAAATGAAATTTTCCATTTTTTTTTTAATTTCACTGATATGTGCAGTATATTCAAATGTTATTTAAGTACATAAAAAAAATCCCACTGTTAATATTCAAATGGTGCATCGTGTTCCATTGGATTACAAAATGTGTGTGTTGGCCCCATTCATTGGCAATGAGTGCTGGACTCAAAAGGGGGCGAGGGGTGGGGGGGGGGTTTAACTACTATACTATACACTTGTGCACCTTTTCCATGCAACAGATGTCAGCCATGCGCTTGGCTGCTTGAAGTGAATGATTGCGCCCCCCCCTCAACACACACACACACACACACACACACACTACCTTTTACCCTCTCCTCCCACTTTATGGAAAAAAAAAATGGTGAAGAAAAAAAAAACGTGTGGAATCTGAGCGAGCGCTGCGGTTTGGGCCGGGCTTGCGTTGGGAGCGAGCGTGCCCAAAAATGGTAATAATCTCGCCCCTCTTGCCGCTTGCTTGCTCCTGCTGCTGCTGTTGGAAAAAGTTTTTCAGACACCCCATCGCAACCCCCCCCCACCCCCTCCAATCCAGTTTCTTCTTGCTTCTGGTTTCCTGTCTGATGTCATCCACCGCCGCTACCGGGGAGAAGCACGGCAGTGGCACAGACACATCCTCCAAACCCTAATCCTGGAGGGAAACCCTCATTTGAAACCCCCCTCGGCCCCTGGTGTGCCCCTGCTTCTGCTGTTGGAAAAATTTTTTCAGCCCCCCCCTCTCAACCCCCCCCCCACCCCCTCCAATCCAGTTTCTTCTTGCTTCTGGTTTCCTGTCTGATGTCATCCACCGCCGCTACCGGGGAGAAGCACGGCAGTGGCACAGACACATCCTCCAAACCCTAATCCTGGAGGGAAACCCTCATTTGAAACCCTAACCATTATTTCAAACCCCACTCGTGGTTTTCAAACCCTTTTTTTTTTTTTTTCAACCCAAGCCCACACTTGGGACCCTAATTCTATTTTACAACCTTAATATGAAACCCTAGTCCAGCTGCAACTAATTCATATTTTATTAATCGATTAATCTTTTGATTGTTTAGACGATTACTCGATTAATCTGATTTGAAAAAAAAAACTTCTTTTAAGGTGCATGCCTTTGTTCAAAAAACCAACTATACTTTCAATTGACTATCCAGAAAATGCACAAATATATAAATTATTTCTGACTCACTTACAGCTTTGGTCCGGAACATGTCAGAAAATCGTCAAAAAATAAAAAAATCTGATACTTTCAAATGTCTTATTTTGAAAACCACTCCGATAATCAGTCGGATTGCAGAGAATATTTACTGTTGAGAGGCTGAATTTCCGAGGATTTCAAATTAAACCAGATCTCAAAATGTTAAATTGTCAAAATGATTGTTGATAAACTTGACAATGCGTGAGCTGTCGATGAATCGATTAATTGTTGAAAACCCTCATTTCAAACTGTAAACTGGTTGAAGTGCGAAATCTCGCTTGAAACCCTAATTTGCAACCCCAAATCTTGTTTGAGACAGCAACCATGGCTTGAAAACGTCATTTGAAACCCGAACCTTAACTTGAAACACGTACCCACCTTGAAACCCGAACTAGAAAAACCCTAACCTTCTATCCTTTTCCATCGATTTTTTTTTTTTTTTTTTCTCCCTTGCTTCTGGTTGCCTGCATGTTGTCATCCACGAGTGCTACCGGGGAAAAGTGTGGCGATATAGCTCAGGGCTGTCGTCAGGTGTGAATTGGAGTCTGGACATGATCCTGAAAGCACGAGAGAGGGGTGGGGGGGTGGGGGAAGCAGCTGGCCCACATACTTGGAACCTCATAAACGTTAAATTCATGTTCCTGAGCTCGCAGGCTGTTACTTCCAGCCTTCTGGCAGTTGTGGACGCCTTCTTCGAGGCACCACTCTTTTTTTTTTGGGGGGGGGGGGGGCGTGGGGGGTTGTTGAATTAGCACTCAGTTCAACTCCCAAGAAAGTGAAAGGTTCAAGTGATGGTGCCATTAAGAAACCTTGAAAAATGGACGCAACATCTGGAGAGAGGGAGAGAGAGAACAACAAGGCACTCTCTAGGTCATGCCATTGATAGACAAAACACAGAAATGTAATGTTCAGTGTGTGTGTGTGTGTGTGTGTGTGTGTGTGTGTGTGTGTGTGTGTGTGTGTGTGTGGCCTTATTTTGTATCTGCAGATAATTTGTCTTCAATAAAATAATATTTTGCGATTGCCGGCACTGGGATTATAGTTCAAACTAAGATATCCGTAGGAAAACATCGCCATGAGATGTGAGAGGGAAGCAAAACATGCACAGTTGTAAACTAGAGGAGGGAAAAAAAAAATGCTGGAACACAAACTGTTACTACAAGCGGCCTGTTATACCTCGATCACGACTACGTTCCTGCGTAAACTCACGGGGAGTTGTCCAAAACCCGCACCGAGAGGATATTTACCAAGTTGACCAACTCGCCTTCCTTGTGAAAAGTACACTTTCAAATCAGGACTTCTTATCATCAGAAGCGACAACACTTCAAAAACAGGGCTTTGTAAAAACAAGAAAGCAAGTCAAGAAATGTGGACTGTTCTGGATTATTTAGTCAAAGCAAAAAAAAAGGAAAATTTGAGTTGGCAAGATTCCCTAAAACAGGTTAAGAAAATAAAAAAAAAAGTCCTGTTTTTATACTCATGTATTTCTACTACTTGCATTTATCGAATTATGATTTTTCATTTTCAGATCAACCTAATCATAACCAGGAATGAAATATCAATAACAAATGATCATACAAAATAAAGACTTTTAATTCAATGAAACATTTTGTCAACAAATGTATTGACAAACAAGTTTTTGTTTTTTTTTTTCTCCTTGAGTTGATTTGAGGTATTTGATTTCGGTTCGAGTTTAGCGACGCTCCCGTCCTCTGCATTGTTGGCCGTCACGCTTCTTTGTCGAGCAGCGTGGCTGCGCGAGGTGCATCATGGGAATGCAGGAATGTGATGACGGCAAGGGTTTCATGGACCAGCGTTTTTTTTGTTGTCTTTTTGATTTTTTTTTTGGGGGGGGGGGGACCAGCAGCGAAACAACACTTGCATGCTTAGTGAAGCTAAAACAGTTCTGTGTTTGAATGTCACTCCGTCCACAAGCTCTTGGTTTGAGAAACCTGCTGCAAAAACGTTTTCGTTCAAAATTGCCATCATTTTTAATCTGCATCCGTTTTCAAGACTTGGTGGGCATTATTAATCCGGAAACAAAGACGATTGGAATCCTTCAAGCAGAGTTACGAAAACTTGACCTCATTAAATGTGCCGTCAGTGTGAAAACGATGACCTCTTAATTGCAGTGCATGCTGAATTTTTATTTATTTATTTTTTGTGTGTGTGTTATACATTCCGAGCTTTACGCAACCCCTCAACCGTCGCGCAACAGGACAAGTCACTGCACGGCCTGCTCGTCC